CTTTGTAGCAGTCTAAATCACTTAACGTTTTTTCACTAAAAGTGGTAGAATATGTATGAATAATTAAAACAAAGTGCTTTTCCTCAGCTTATAATCTTTACCTTTCAAATTTATGTAGAAATTCTTGTGTAAATACACCATGCGAACGTATAACCAGCTAAACATTGATATCTCAACTTGAAGCACTGCCAACTGCAGATTGTATGGTGTAATACGTAAGGCAGTAAAGAAGTCAAGGCAAACGCTTTCTTAGAGATCAAGGTTGTGGAGACAAAGATAAATAACACTTCAACATCTGATAGATTTGGAATCCTGTTTTATCAAAAAAAATAGTTGAATTACAACATGATATACATATCTATGGATTTCATTGATCAATAATGCAAAAATAAATGAAAGAATTTAGGTTAATCTTTCTAAAACTGTGAATATCTGTGAATATTGGGGACATGGAGGAATTTACTGAAGATGGATAGGACTGACTGAAATGCTAAAATGGCAATTTTGGTATATCACTTTTTAATGGTGCTAAATGTAGTAGTATGGATGAAGATCACCGAGTGGATCACATAGCTATCTTTAAGTAGAATGACCTGTCCAATATATAAAAGCAGGAATTCTGTTTGCTGAGGCATAACCTTACTGCTTTCCCCCAGGCAATAGACAATACTGAGCAATCTCCTGTTGTGTCCTTATCACCTTGCTTCCCCACACGCTCCGTCCAGTATGTTCAGTGTAGTTGCTCACCTCCAATATACCACTGTTATTTCATAACTGAAATGCTGCTGACTTTTGGAGTTCAAGGAATATGATGATTTGGGAGATCCACAGGTCATCATCGTTATACTTGGAATTAAAATTTGACCTGAACTGAAATCCAGCATTACATGCTTCTAATATAGCTATCATTGTTTGGTTTTCAAAACCGTAAAACACATATATTAATGGAAAGTTGTTCTTTTCTACTTTACCAGACCTCCTCTAATGAGAACTAACATGAAATATTTCTTTCTCTTTCCTCGTCTGCAATCTCAAATTTGATCGTTTCCTCTCGGAAAGGCAATTCTGTGTTTGTTTTTTTTGGGGGGGGGGGAAGTTGTTTTGGTTTTTTGTTTTTAAGCCAAACGCCCCTTCTGAGTGAAGGAAATGTCGTTTACTCCCTGTACCAGACAGATTTTCTCTTGAAGTCTCTCAGTAGTACAGTGATCAAACCAGCCTTGAAGATAAAGTTGTGAAATCAGACGAGCTTGTAGTTCAAGCCTGGGCTGCAGGTGCAGTGTGCGAGAGTTTTAAGGAGGGGAGGAACAATTCCGGCGCTTCCCTGAAATCTCATGGAATTTTGGAAAACAGATTTACCTTGTTCATGGTTTAAAGCCCTCCTCTGAAAACAACGCTTCCTAATAATCTGTCTTGAATCTAAAAGTGATTTATAGGTGAAGTGTTTTCCAGATAAATGCCCTTTCCAGACCTGGAGCTGATATATTATTAGTTTATTCCCAAATTAAACCACTCTGTAAAGATTTTACAATACTTTTTTTTTTTTTTTTTTTTTTTTTTTTTTTTTGGCTTGTTTTTTTTTTTTTTTTTTTTAAAGCATACCAATTTTTCCTGGGTGAGCCTCTCTGGAAGAGGCACTTGCCCGTCTATTATTTGAGAGCTGCTGTTGAGTGCTAAAATCTGCTTTTGTAGTAGAGAGCTGCTATGGGAAAGTTTATCTCAGGCAAAGAGAGCCTGAAAATGTTTCTTTTAACTGTTTATGTTTAGAGTTTTAGGAGCCCGTAGGTGCAAATTCCAATGTGAAAACTTTGAAGCCCTTCAAAATTGAAAAGAGTTGTCTTGTATTCATTTGACTTGGAGTATAAAATAGTATTGATATGGCAGCTTTTAAGAAAAAAAAATCTTTTAATGGGTTCAGTGAATGGCGCCTCATCAGAATGCTTAGTCAAGAATTAAAGAATTGCTTGCAGATTTTCCCAGTAAGAATTAACATCGGACATAATTGTCTCATTGCTTCAGCAACAATGGGGTCCCTTATGTCCGCTCGCGTATTCTGTGAATTTCATTTTACTACAGAGAGCGCTTTGTTGCAAAGAGCAGCCTAACTGGGCTTGTGTGTATTAATTCTACTAAAAGATGTGGCTATCTGACAGGTGTAAAATGTAGGGGAATACAGTGAAGGTTAAGACAAGTGCCTGATAAGAAGCAACTGTTTGAATTCTTTTTGTTCCTCGTGCAGCTCTCAGTATGGCGATGATTAACATCACTGTGCTTAACATTTTCATTTCAAGAAACCTAAATCCTTCTGTTTCACACTTCACTGATGGAACGTAGACTCCAAAATTAGCCGAAGTTTTCATAGACAATTGAATTTTCTATGTCATTTGTAGTGACTACCGGCTTTTACAGTTAAAACCACTCAGATTTTTTGTTCTTCTGATATATGTGAATTTATTCTCATTAAATCACTGTGCCCCTTGAAAACTCCAATCTTTTTGTTCTTCTGATTAGATGCTCAACATCTGAAATGTTAGAAATCCAGTGCATAAAAATTAACTCCTATTTGGAATAGCTACGTTAACAGAAGTCAAATGGCAGAACTGTGCTACTTCGGTTTGTTTTTTGCAGTCTTGTCAGCCTGACCAGTCTTCTGTGTTGTATATGCAGACGTGATGATGCAGGGAAGTAAGAGCGTTTGAACAGGGCTTTAGGGAACTTGGGAGGGATGAACTTGGCACCCATGATGCCTGCCAAAGAAAACTGGAACCTGTGGGAGGTTGGAATGAGAGAGGCTGGCAGTGCCTGGAGCCTTTGCTTTGCAGAGAGGCACACACATGGCACTATTTTGTAGGGTTGTCTGCAGGTTTCCTAGTCGTGAGAAAGCTTAGGTATCTAGGAGAGCACTTGTGCCAGGACCAAATGAGGCAAGTGTAATCTAGGCTCCTTGCTCCAGATTACCCACCTCAAGTGTCAGCTTCCTCCCGCAGCCGGAGCTTCCTTGCTGTGCACCTCTTGCTGATGGCTGCAGGACCAACTTAAGCTCTCCTCAGAGATGCTGTCTCCTGCAAGACTCTTTCTGTTACAAAGGAGGGAGAGTCAGAGGTTATTGCCATTTCTAGTGTTAGGAACAGTGTCTTCTGGTCTCTTGCGGAAAAAATTTTTGAAATTGGCTTTGGAACATGTTGGATGTTACTTTCACTGCTGAGAAATTATTGCAAGAAGGAGATCCTCCTGTTACTTTCATGGCTTGTAGGCACGGTGTCTGGCAGATGGAACCCCCAAACTATTTTGAATTTTTCAAAGAAGTAAGTGAGGTGCTTGCAAATCTGGTATGTTCTCATCTGTAAGCAGCTAGTATGAAACATACTTCTAGTGTGGGTTAGCACCCCTGAGCACTAGTGGCATATCTGTAAAGGAGTGCAGTGCAGAAACTTCTGACCCTACATCAAGCTTACTGGGACATGCCCTGTCCCAGTGCAGTACTCTGTGAAGCAGATGCGTTCACAGCCTGAGCTAGCAGCTGTGCTAACACAGCAGTGAGCCAGGCTAAAAACCACTGCCTCTTCGCTGGATCAGCTAGCCCAGCTGCGTTTGTACGGTTCTAGAGGTAGGTCTGGCATCTCAGCTTTCTTTTCCTTTGCTCAATAGCATTGAAATCTTTGTTTGTTTTTTTTTCTACCTCATTTCCCTTTATCGTTTCTTTTTATTTCATTTATATATTTTTTTCTAAGCTCTTCTTACCTAAAAGGTGGGAAAACAGCTGGTAGGACTGTTTCTTTGGATAGTAAAGCCTAGTTTTTTCCCTGCCCCCTTTTTTGAGCCTCTCTTTCTGTGGTTGGATTCTTAGCTTTTTTAGAGACCTAAACATGTTTAGTTATTATATACACACACACACTAGACGTTTGCGTATGACTAAGCCTGTCTGTGTGTATGCAGTATATACCAGTCCACGTTAGCATGTGCTGGAAATTAGTGATCTGGTTGCTCTGAGGTCTCAGTAAAGTTGCATCTGCACCAGCCCCATGAGTCTGGAGACACATGCCTTCTGTTGGGGTTTTACAGGCCTGCGGTCTGCAGAGCCCAGGCACACACACACCGCACTTCCCCTTCTTGATTTTCCAGATGTAGGAAGGGAAATTTTGAGCTGAGCTAGAATGGATGTTACTACCTGAGCTTGCTTGCAGGGGTATGTGTAAGAGGAGAATTCTCGCTACCTACAGCCCCAGTAGTCAGTTTGGGCATCAGTCGCTGTTCAGTGAAGGACAGACTCCATGACAAACTTCTAGCAGCAACTTCTGTTCTGTCACATGGATAGCAAATGGATGGATACCTACTCCACATTTGGAGTACTGAAGCAGAAATTGGAGTGATAGCGACTGAAGGCAACCCACCTGGTTTTAGTCTAAAGATGCTTTGCTTGCTAGAGAGAAAAGTTATTTTTAAATCACTCTTTCTGGTAATTGATGTGTAAATTGGATTATTATAAGCACAACTCCCAAGGGAAGCAAGGCTCTGTGCAGTAAGGCTCTGCATATGTGGTTTTCTCTCTCCCTCATTCTGCATCCTCTTAATAACTTTTAAACCACTGGTTACCATCAGTCAAATTTTATAGAGGAGCATGAGTCTCACTAAGTTCCTACCTAATTTTTTGAAAATATAAGGCAGCTGGGTAGAGAAGGAATATAATCCCATTAGACTGTTATTTGAGCTTAAACCTTAATAAATCTTGCACAACCTCCATTTTTCTGTCCATCTCTCACGTTCTCACATGTAAAACGTGGCTTCATTAGTTCCACTGCTTGCAGATTAATACTGCTTCACTAGTGGCTTCAGCCCCATGGGAAAACCTGTTGTTTGCAGAGGCAGTTGTGGTAACCTGGTTAGGGGTTCCAGCAGAGGGAATGTAACTTGTCAAAACACCAAACAGAATTTCTCTCTCTTTTTCTCTTATCTGCTGTCAGTTTGTGATATATTAAAAACAGAATCTCTTGTTTGATTTTTAGAAACTGAAAAAATCCCTGTGATGCGTGGACAGTGGTTTATTGACGGTACGTGGCAACCTCTGGAAGAGGAGGAAAGTAACCTCATAGAACAAGAACATCTCAACCGTTTCAAAGGCCAGCAGCTGCAAGAGAACTTTGATATGGAAGTATCGAAACCTGTAGATGGGAAGGAAGGTAAGATTACTTGGATCTTTTTTTTTAAACTGTGTTTTCTGGACGGCTGGGGCCTATTTTTCTCAAATAAGAATGTTTTCTGTGATGGTTTCCCATTCTGCGTAATGGGGAACGCTGTTAAAGGCTTCAGCTTGCTCTCCTGTTTTCCAGTGCATCTTGATGTTTTAGAATTTCCTGCTGCAGCACATTTGATGATCACTCTGTAAAATTACATTCATGGATAAACTACTTGTTCCCATTTTGTTTCACATTTTATGATAGCTTTCTATTGTCTTTGAAAAAATCTCACATAAACCTGAAGTCTCTTTATGGGCCAGGAAGTGTCAGTGTCTGAATGTAAACTGGCTCTTAGCTCTTTGGCCAGTGTTCCTAATTCTGCCCTGAAGGGAGTATTGCTTTTACAGATCACATTTCATTTTCCGTTCTGCTTCAATCTATGGCTTTTCTAGAGTAGTATTCAGTTATGCTAAATCTTACGTATCCATTCTGTTTGTGGAAGTCCTTGTATTTTAACGACCAGGCTGAGGATGTTCAGTTGAAGTGAAGACTGAACTATTTTTCCATTTGTACTACCTCAGAAAAATCTTTTCCTCTGGCCAAGCCCTACAGTATAGTCCTCTGCTTTAACAGCTCTGTCAGGTAGGTGCAAAAAGTGTGATCCCTGAGCCACAGCAGTGTGCTAGTACAATCCTCTTTTTGAAAGGCACCTTTACCTGCATTTCTGTGCTTGCATTGATTTATTGTTTTAGTGTATTGACGCAAAGCTCAGCTTTGTTAGTACAGCTGCATCCCCACTGTGAGTGTAGTGCTGTCTGTGGTAGAATAGTATTCTTATACTTGGAAAGCACATCTTCTATAGCTGCTGTGTGCTTCCAGCCCTCAGTAGCTTAACGTTTGATGGAAGGGAGGAAGGATATCTTGAGTTGTACTTGGATTTTCCTCATCAGGTGAGCAATGGAGTTTGTGGTTGTTTTTTAAGAAAAAGTCTGATGTTTGGAGCAGAAGCTGTCAAATTTGAGGCAGGAAGGTTTGGGAAGAGTGGTGAGAAGCATATGGATCCCTGCTATTTATGAAAAGATACAAGATCAGAAAAAGAAACTCCAAAGTGAGACACCTGTGCCCTCTATAAAACTGAAGCAAAAAAAAAATTATATGTGCAGTCACTTTAAAATGGAATATATCTTAAGCCATGAATGACTTTACTGTAACCCCCTTATGACTATTTAAAATTATAATTAACAATAGATGTGGAAAGTTGTATTGAGTGACGTATTATAATGACAGAACATCTCTGATGAGCTGGCATCCATGATGACTGTCTGCACACAGCACTGGGGAGAAACTTGGGGACGTTATATCATCACTGGTGATCCAAATGTTATTATTTGGAAAAGTGTTCAATTAAGTATAAATTCCTTAAATCCATATTGCTACATTTTTTTGTAATTATCCCCCTCACTAAACAGATTTGGATCCCATCAAGATTTATAGGTAGCTGTTATTTAAGTCTAATGGAAGTTGGAATAGATCTTTAAATATCGCTGGAAGGTAAAGTGGCTATTTGCAATGTTATGGTAAAGCATTGTAAAAAATGAAACACTAGCAATCTTATCTAATTCCTCAGCGAAAGTTTAAGATTGTCTGCTGTAAGGAAGTCTCTTATTACTTAGACCTAATTACTTTGTTATGTGAACATGCCAGGGTACCTTGTAAATAATGAAAAGCTAACCCCTCTTGTCAGCTAGCATACTGTTGATATTCAGTAGACAAACTTATTGGTTCTCAGTTTGACTCCAATCATGCTGCAGATGGTGGCAGTAGGCTAAAAGTTAGGAGCCAGAAATCCTTCATCTTTACAGGAGATAGGAATTGGTTTAGGTCCATTTTGCTGTTCCTGTTTTTAGGTAGTTTTCTCTTATTCAGCCTACAAACTTGGGGCAACATATGATATCTTGTAATTCAGTATCCGTGACTCAGATTATATAATTGGTTTACAGTTTCATCTTCCTCTTTTATTTCTTTGTCCTTTGAAACATATTTGTCTGCAGAAAACAGAACTGGGAGCAAGCTACTAGCTGTTTAACACACTCTGCTTTTGAGCAACCTGTTAGTGCATTGCTTGCAACAGAATCACCTTACTTAAGTGTATGCCAAGTGATGCTGCTTCCCCTGCATGTGTTGTGCAGAATACACTTCAGGAGGATACCCTTACCTCTAGAAACATGAGTCACCACTCTGATTTATTTTCTCAGTTCTGCTCCTGGATTTAAGCATTTTAACAAGAAAACAACTATGCTTGTCCAGAGCCTCTATTGATAATAGGTCATGGATGAATGGTCTTGCTATTGAGCTATTAATCCAAGCAAACCTGCCTCCAAAGCAATCAGTGCAAAATGTTTCATAACCAGGGTCTCCAGTCTGTGTCCTGTGAGTAGCATGATGTCCATACTACTTTCCAGTGTTGTTTGGGACCCCAGGAAGTTGTAAATCCTGAAGCTGATAGAACGCCGTGTAATGACATTTAAGTGAGTGACTTGTCAAGTTCTGCTGTCCATGGGGCAGCCTGGAGACCACTGCTTCAGGGGAAGAGTTAGGAATCCTTCCATGGGAGTAACTGCCTATAACAGCATTTTGATTTTCACCCTTAAAGGTATTTGGTATCATGCCTCACAGAATCAACTGTGTTTATGCTATGGGATAAGCTGGCTTCTTGTCAGTGGTCTGCTGAGCTGCTGACTTCAGCAGCGACATGACTTTCCCAGGTAAATTGCATGTTATGGCAAAACAGAGAAGTGGGGTACTTTTTTGTTTCTTGGGACTATCCAAGCAGACTGAGACCTTTAGCTCTGCAGTTCCTCGTTGACCTGGATTTAGCTGCAAGAAGGCTATGTTCTGTTGGAGTTCATAGGCTAGATTCTCAGATACCAGAGCTCTCTATGATCCTTGCAGGAATCAGTCAAATGTCCCTGAGATTTCTGGAGGGTTATTTCATCCTGAATGTGTTGGCATCTAACGCTTGTGAGAGGCCAGTTAACCTTGATCAGAGATTTTTGAACTGCAGTATGCATACAAGGTGTTGGTGATGTGACAGCTGACTCCCCATAACATGACAGACAGGCATGTGTGCAGGTGAAGGGAGGGACTCTGAGGAGATGAGCCTCTCCATTGACTCTCCAGG